TTACAAAAATTTCAAGATCTTTCATTTATTATAATAATACTAACTAAATTAAAAATAAGTTATTGTGTTATTAACAGAAGCTTTATTCATATTCTATTTTTTGTTATATAAGAACAGAGTGATGTGAAAATGAAAAGGTATTAAGGTAAATAAACAAAGAGATATTAGAAAAGATAATGTTTGGGAAATAGAATTAAACTAACACTAAAAAATATTAAAAATTGAAAAGTATTACTTAAATGAAGTGATAATGAAATTTATATTTTGATTTATTGAAGAAAATAAAGACTAAAATAAAAAAAATGAGAGTTAATATATTGTTGGTTGTTTTGAACAAAATAAATTTCATTTAATACTTTTCTTTATACTAACGAAAATACTAATATAAACTATTGTCTTTTAAATGAGAAACATGTCTAACTTAATTTTATACTCTTCTTAATACTTCTTTGATAAAAATATACTAAACTCTCAATAACTTATAATTGTATGACAAAAAAGTCATAAACATAAACTAATAGAAAAAGAATAATCATAATTAATGATATATGTATCAAAAAGAATGTATTATAACAATGACTTTTATTTATTTAATAAGAATTTTAAATAATAAATACAATAAAAAATATCAATAATAAAATAATGATAAGTCTATTAATTTTAGTTGTATTTTATTGGATAATACTAACTTTGATAAATAAGTGAATTTTTATTGCATAGTTTATTTGAAAATAAACAATGCATTGGATTGTTTATAGTCAATAATTATTTCTTAAATAAATAATAAAAAATAATTATTCTTCAGTAATTTTCAACAATTATCTTCTTTTAAAAATACTTTTAACAAATGACTCATTGATTTTTTTTAATTAATCATAGTTTTTCTTCATTTAATAAGTTTCAATTTCTTCTTAAAAGTGATTTGATTATATAAAAGAATTAAGAGTTATTAGAAAGTATTGTTTTTTGAATAACTGTTTTTGTGTTATTAAAATAAAATATTAGTTTTAATAAAATTAAATTAATTAATCTTTAATTTTATTACTCTAATTTATGTGTTTGTTTAACTATATCAAATGTTTAAATTAGTTTAATATTTAATATATTTCATTTGTTTTGTTTTCTTTTGTCATATCAATTCTAAACTTATTTATTTCATTAGCCCAACTTTCTGTTTTATAACTCTCAATAATTGAAATAACTTCTTTATTGTTTAAAATATACTGTTTGATAATTCTATTTACATCAATTGTTTCATTAATGTCTGTGTCATATACTTCTTTACTTTCTTTGCAATAAATTGCAACCACTCCTTTATTTGATGATAAATTTTCAACAACATTAATTTCTTCAACCTTTAAATCATTAAAATTATACCACCTGTTTTTACAAACTCTACACCAACAATTATAATGTCCTCCATCCAAATTACCATAATGATTTATTATACAAATAAGTCTCATTTTTTCACCAGGTATAACTTCAATTTCTTCGTCAAAATTAATCTCATGATTATTTCTTCTTCCAACGCTATCATACTCTGTTCTATTTATTTCTACTATTAAATAATTACTTGTTTCAGTAATTTTACTCTTTCTTTCTGTTCTCTCTCTTTTATGACAATTTTCACAATAATACCCTTCAATAGATTCAGTTAAACTACTATTTATGGATTCTATAATACTATTATTTGGTTGAACATGTAAATAATAGCAATTTTCTTTAACAACCTCTTCTTTATTACAAGACAGACAAACTTTTTTAAACTCTTTTTCAATTTTAAAATGATGGTTTATTAATTGTTCATTTCCTGTTTTAATTCTATTAATAATACTATTTAACATTAATGTTGCATCATCTTGTTGTTCAATATTAATTTGTTTGTCTGTTAACATTTGGATTGATTCCGATATATTTACTTGTGTTTTTCTTGCCATTTCTTTGAAAATAGTTGAAATACTTCCAATATCTAACTTTTCTTTAATTACATCATCTCTGAATAATTTACAATGAAATAATGCTTGAAGACTACTATTAACATAACATGTGTTTGCTAAATTTTTAATTCCAACATATTCTTCACCACTACTTAAAACTTCTATTAACATTTTATTATCATAATTAATATTCATTGTTTCTAAGATGTCTTTAATTTTTTTTCCAATAAGATTTTTATAGTCATTACTTTCCTTAATCATTTCAAGTATTAGTAATTCTAATTGTTTTCTTTTACTTTTTTGTTCGGATGTTTTACTAATTTTTTTTAAATCAAAACAATAATGAATAATATTATCCATTTCATTCATAAGACTATCTTTATTTTCTTGGCTTATTAATTTCCTCTCAATCAGCATAAGAAGTCTTTTAATAGAGTCGCCTCTTTCAATAATATTAGGAATAGTAGATTTAATCTCTTCATTTATAGAATCATAAATTAAGCGATTAACACTACTATAGTTATATGTTGCACTATCATAAGTATCTTCTTTTATTTTTCTAGTACAAGGATTTTTATAGTCAGTACTTGATTTTAAAATATCTTTTTGTTGTGTTGAACTAATTTTTAGTATTTCCTTTTTACTATCCATCTCTTCCATTACAAATGTTTTAATAATTTTAATTTCATCCATAAATTCACAGTTTCTTGGATAGTTAGTATCATCACAAGCAAGACAGTTTAATAAAAGGAATGTATTATTATATTTATTGTTATATAACTTATTATAAAAACTGTGATAATTTATTTTAAGTCTTGGAAATAATAATAAATAACCCATAACTTTTTTACTAATTGGCTTTAATAATATCTCAGTCATTAACTTTTGATCAGATACAATTGTTCCTTGACATTTAATAATAAAATACCGTTCTTTTCTATCAATACACATCAATGGATATTTTCTTGGAAGTCCTATCCCAATTTCTTTACTTTCTTGTTTTCTATAATCTTCTTCAATTTCTTCAACAGTTTTGACAATATCTGTTCCTTGTATCCTTTTATACTTTTTAATATATTCTAAAATACTTTCATCTTCTTTATAAAACGCAGTAGTTATACAAATCCCTTTTTCAATAATTGAAATATTATCAGTCATAAGACATACCTTTTGAATTGTTTGTGCTAATTGGCGAGTAAAATTATTTTGAAAATAACTAAATTTTTCAATTTCTGTCCAAAACCATTGATTAAACATCAGTGACATTAAAATTTCAATTTTATATTCATTACAACTATTTATTTTAATTAATAATATTTTAGATTTTTGGGTATCATCTAATACTTTTATTAGACTTTCATATACTTCATACGGAAATATTGTTTTATAGTTTTCAATAAATTCTTTCATAATATCATATTGTTCTCCACTCCATCCATTTTCATTTATAGTTGTTATTATCATCTTATAAATGTCTTCAGATCTTTTTGAACAAAAGAATGTAATAATTTGTTGTAGTACTTTTTTATTATACTTTTTATTTAATATACTATCAAGACAATTATAAATCATCATTGTTTCTTCACTTGGAACTGTTTTAATAACTTTAGTTTTACTATGAGAATGTTGACGTGTTACTCTAGACTTCTTCATAATATTAACAATATCAATATCTTCTTTAATACCTTTGTTTTGATATTTTTCTACTAATTTAACATATCCTTTATAAAGGTCTTCCATTCCTGGTTTAATACGTAACTCATGACAACTCTTTTTATCAAATATTATTTGTCTTAATACTGTAATTCCATTTATATTATAGTCTAATACTTTAGACTTTAATTCTCCTTTAATTACTTTAATTAATTCTTTTTTATCCATTAGAATTTTTTTCATTTGTAAATAAGCTAAGTAAATACCAAAATAACTGATTTTATTGGTTTCTATAAACAATGAATAGCCATCAGTATCAATATATTGTTCAAAGCAATTAATTAAAATTTTATTGTAAGTATATTCATCACATACTTTATTTGTTTTAATCACATTATATATTATACTAATATTTCCATACTCTTCATTTTGACTTAATGTTCTTGAAATTTTCTTCTTACTAAAAATTTGTAAATATAAACATTTATCCCCTTCCCCAAAACTTTGAATCATTTTACAAATTTTATAATAACTATCATCTGTAATATGAATATTATAATTACCACTATCATAATTAATAAAGTATATTATCATAAAATATTTTTCAATAACCTTCCATACTTTTTCTTCAATTCTATTGTTTCTTAAAAATATTTCCATTCCTTCATTCATTCTTTCTTCTTGAGATTTAATAAGTCCTATAAAATAACTGTAAAAATATTGATTATCATATGTTGAATCATATAAATTGATGATAGCACAACATTCATACAATACATTGATCCAATACTCCCATTCATTTTCTAAAATAAACATTCTTTGTACAACACTAGTAAGTTCTCTCTGTAATTCATTACTGTTAATACTTCTATAACCTCTTTCTTTTAAAAATGTGAGTAATACTTGTGAAGTTATATCAATATTATTTAGCATACTGTCAAGTTGGTCCTTGTTCATCATTCCAAAAAATGGATAATACATTTCCCATCCACTATCACTATAATATGTAAAGTTATTCATCATGTTTTTCTTAGTTCTCTTTATTATTCTTATTATTAATTAAAGTATAAAAACTAAATAATAACTTTTCAAAAATCATTTATTTATGTTAATAGTTATATTTTTTTTGAAATAATTTCCCCACATAAATCCACATTCACTAAATAGATTTACAAAACTTTCTGCTTTTTTTTTATCTCCTTCAATAAATTTATCAACAGTATCTTTTCTACCATACTTATTAAATATAAAAAGCATTGTTTCTTCATTATGTGGATAAAGTTCTTCAGAGTATTTATATAATTGATACATAAAACCGTTATTGGGGTTAATATTTTTTCTTTTTTGTTGAACATATTCATACGCCTCTTTTAAAGTCTTTCCTTTATACATTAAATAACCAATAACAATGGTAGCAGAACGAGAAACCCCCATTTCACAATGAACCAATACAGGTTTTGGTGCGTTATCAATAAATCTAAAACATTCAGTAAAATAAGAGCTGATGTTTTCATTTGAAGAATCTTCTAAAACAATCCACTTTTTTTCTTTAATAACACTAGGTAAATATACCTCATACCCAAGAATAGAAAGTACTGACTTAATTTGATATTCTTGAATAACTTCTTCATCTTCTGCTGCATAAACACTACCTAGAAATAATGTTCCTTTTTCAATTGTACTAATCATCCAATTTGATTCATCAACCTCTTGAGTATCTGACATTAATAAATTAAATTTTATATTTTATTTTTCAGATTTATCAAAAATGATATGAAAGAATGTAAGTCAGAAATACCGGATAAACCCTAATACCAATTCATACTTTGTTTCTTATACTTATTATTTGATTATGATGCTTTCTTTGAAGAAAGAAATATATTAAGTAATAGTGTAATGAATGAAATTAGAAGAAATATGAAAGAATAATAAGAAAAGAAAATGATATGAATGAAGATGTTAATATAAAAATCATTGAATAGAATAATATAATAATGAAATATTCAATTAACATTAAATAAGAAAAAATCAAGAAAACATTTAAAAATGAAATAAAAAAGAAAGAAGAAGATAAAAAGAAGAAATAAACAGACAGAAGAAAAACAATAAAAACAAACAGAAATAAAAACAAAAAGATTTATTTATTAAATAAGAAGAAACACTAAATAATAAATAAAAGAAATCAAATAATTATTTTAATGAAGTATGATGTGAATAATATCTATTAATTAATGAATAAATGACAATTTTATTACCACTTAACTATCTATTTTGTATTAATTTAGTTATGATAATATTATATTTTCTTTCTTATTTTTATTTTTGTTTTTTAGATTAATTATAATAAAT